CTTTAACACTGTGAAGTTAGTATTTGTCTTTTGTTTTGTCTTTTGGTCGAAGTAAATTTATTCGGTTGCTGCCAATTCTGCTAAACTGTGTATTCTTTAACACTGTGAAGTTAGTATTTGTCTTTGTTTTGTCTTTTGGTTGAAAGTAAATTTGTTCGGTTGCTACCAATTCTGCTAAATTGTGTATTCTTTAACACTGTGAAGTTAGTATTTGTCTTTGTTTTGTTTTTTGGTTGAAAGTAAATTTGTTCGATTGCTGCCAATTCTGCTAAACTGTGTATTCTTTAATACTCTGAAGTTAGTATTTGTCTTTGTTTTGTCTTTTGGTTGAAGTAATGCAATCCATTCAAGTTTCAATTTGCAGAAGAATAAATAGTTTACTTTCGCAACACGAAACTTAAAATCGCAACGTGAAAAATGACTATCGCAACGCGAAGTGAATCGCAACGAGAGAATCGCAACGCAAAACCAAAATCGCAACGCGAAACCAAAATCGCAACGCAAAACTATAATTGCGTTGCGATTTTCATTTCGCATTGCGATTCTCTCGTTGCGATAGTCAAATTCGCATTGCGATAGTCATTTTCGCATTGCGATAGTCATTTTCGCATTGCGATAGTCATTTTCGCGTTGCGATTTTAAGTTTCAGATTCTATTCTTCTTCTGCAAATTGAAACTTGAATGAATTGCATTACTTCAACCAAAAGACAAATACTAACTTCACAGTGTTGAAAATTTAAGTTTCAAGAATAAACTACTACTCTTTATGTTGTCATTGAACCTGCACTAAACCTATATGTTGTCCTTTTAAATGTTTATATAAGTGCTTACTTGTAGAATGTTATCTGATGCATTTTGTGAACAATAATATAATAATTACTTGGGTGAATACCGTGCAAGTTTGAAATATATTTGTCTTTGTTCTCACTGTTTAATATCATGTTTGTTTGTTTACTGATTTATGTATTAATTTGTTTTTAGCGACCCGCTAAGGTGGATGCTCTACGTCGGGTTTTTCTTGCAAGACGGAGTTCACGCATCAGACGGCGTGCACGTGCCATTACGTCTCCGTTCACCCCAATAGTACGAAGAATCCGTAAGAAAAAGCCCGACTCACCTGTCATCGTTCAAGAGGCCTCCCCTATCGTTCAAGAGGCCCCTATCATCCCTCAAGAGTCCCCTCCCACCGTTCAAGAGGCCACTGTCATCGTTGAAGAGGTCCCTTCCAACATTCTAGAGCCCGATTCACACGGCGTAATATATCGAATTATTGAGAGGCCCCCTCACGTGCCGAACATGATGGATGACTGTTGGCTTTCGTATAAGTTACCGGCCAGTACCATTCCGGCAGATGAAGTGGAGAGGAAACAACTACAGGAAACAATTCTGGATAATACCCTTTGGGCTAAGACCGCAGTTGATTTTTATCTACATGAGCGGAGCCAAGGGTGTTATGCTGACATATACAAACTCAACGATGATATGCATTTGTTGATTGAACGGCCTTGGTGGGGTGTATTATTAGGGGTTGAAGACAACGGCTATTTCGATGGGGGGTAAGTCTTATATTTCTTATATTTCAGTTTGATTAATTTTTTTTAAATTTATGTAATTCACTAATATATGTCTTTTTTTGTAAAACAGCATACTGATGCATGGGTGACACGTCTTCTAATTGTAAGGAAATTGAAGACAAATATTAAAAAAACGCGATATACAATTATGCCGACGTCTTTTCACGTAGTTCACTAGAAGAATCAACGACAAGAATCATATGTGTTGGCTAATGGACAAGCTAAACTTTATCCTGCATGGTGGGAGGTCGATAAGGTTATTATATTTGTTTAAATATTTTAAAGGTGTTCATAAATAAGTGCGCAATTTGAATTATTACATTTCGATACAGGTGTTTATCCCTGTTTTGGACCGTACTCATTGGCTTCTCGTCGAGCTTCAGCTCCATCCCTAAAGACAATAGTATATGACAGCATGATAAATTACATATCATTGTCTGATTTGAGAGATATGATTAAGGGATGGAGCTCTCATTTGGCTAAATTCTTGGATGCAATTGATTATTGGACTAAGTCTAGAAACAAAAAGCAAAAGAAGTTCAATGTTACAGTTATCAGAGACGAGACCGCGCCACAACAAACGAAGGAAGCCAGAGGGGATTGTGGTCCTCTCGTATGCATGTGCTTGGAGCGTTTGACGACAGGAAGTACACATTTTCTACCTCCCACCGATAGAGATAGAGGTGTAGTAGACTTGTGGTTTCGACATTTTATGGCTAGAGCGATATATGCGAGACGCTGCCTACCTGCATCCGCGTTATGAAAGTGTCCATAAACAATTTGTAAGTCAAATGCAAGTGTTGTTAAACATATTTACTCTTTTTGGTTTGAAAATGTTTGGTTAAGTAGCTAGAATTCAATAATTTGCTGTTTGTAGGTTTTAGATGTGTAGAAAGTGTTGTTGATTCAATGTTTGGTTTCTGCAGGTTAATCCTGAAGTGAGCTGCGTGAAATGGATGTATGGGTGCAAAAGTTGATTTCATTATTATTTTTTGATTGTTTAATTGATTTGTAAAAGATGATTTGTAAATGTTGATTTGTTTAATTGATGTGTACATAATATTTGTGCTTGTTTAATTGATTGAAATGTAATAGTTGATTTGTTGATTTCAATCTGCATTATGTTGAATGCAAAACAGACTATCGTAACGCGGAAATGACTATCGCAATGAGAGAATCGCAATGCGAAATGAAAATCGCAACGAGTGAATCGCAATGCGAAAATTAAAATCGCAACGCGAAACTAATTTCGCGTTGCGATTTTCATTTTCGCATTGCGATTCACTCGTTGCGATTTTCATTTCACATTGCGATTTTCATTTCGCATTGCGATTCTCTCGTTGCGATAGTCATTTCCGCATTGTGATAGTCAATTCCGCATTGCGATAGTCATTTCCGTGTTGCGATAGTCATATTCGCGTTGCGATTTCCGCGTTGCGATAGTCAAATGAATGTCTAATAAGTGATAACAACTGAACTTATCATAGCAATGTTCAAACTCAAGTTACAAATACATGCCTAACTGAAAATGTTAAAAGTTCACACATAATATACACATAATACAACGTTTGCATTTAAAAATCACCTAAGTTAACAGTCCCAAAAGGTGAAGCCAGTTCTGATTGGGATTTTGATGAGGATCCATATTTTGGTAGAGGAAAAGATGATTGTGATGGCACTGGTGATCCACATGTCAACCTTGTATGACCACTTTCCTTGCACCGACTACATGTCGATCTCTTTTTCTCTTCACCCTTAGATGGTATACGATCGTGACTTTTTGGTCGGCCAGGTAGCCTTCTGTCCATGGCTGGTGGAAAAACTGTTTGTAAGTCATCTGGTATGTCCCACTTAGAAGGATGTAGAATAGGGTAGACAATCTCGCCATAAGTCTGTCGATATACTTCTGTAGTGTAGCAATCCATAGCGTATGCGCTTGAATCATCTTGGTTTAGATGAAGAGAAACTTTTATAACATGGCCACACGGATAACCATATGTTTTCCATTTCATACAACTACACGTCTTTGCATTTAGATCGACAAGCCCATTTAAGTTATTATCCAGTACTTCAAACAAAGTGTTTGAACATGGTTCAACTCTCCATGACGTTGACTTCACAACAAGTTTCGTTATCTTTTTTTCTATCCATGGTGTAACACGATGTTCCAATGTTTCTGTAAATTTAAATAAATAATACTTAGTAAAATATATGATAAGTTACGAATTTAAAGAAATAATACCTGCATGGTTTCTTTTCTTGTAGTACCACTGTTGAATAGAGGCTCGAAAAAACTCCATTAACATAATAATGAGTAATTTTCGGGAATGACGACTTAGAGCGTTGATTGATTCTGCACTATTAGACGTCATGAAACCATATCTTGCTCCAAGTTGATGTACTCTTGACCATCTTTCAAACCCGACATCTTCTAGTGTTTGAGCACACTGAGGCAAAACACGTCTTAAACAGTTTATATGCTTATTAAAATCGACTTCCTGATAAGCTTTTACAGCCTTCCAGTATGTCCATTTGTGATTTTTTATACCAGCAGACCTTGATTTTAGATTTCTATACAAATGAACACCACAAAGTCCATGAAAAGCATCTAGGAAACACCTTCTAACAGCGTTGTCAATTGAGTTTGCCCTATCGGATATGATTGTCAGATTGCTAATAGGACCTATGCAATCCCTAAGATGCCCCATAAACCATGTCCATGAATCAGAGGTTTCAGATTTGCCAACCCCGTAAGCTATTGATAGTATCCCATTGTTAGCATCCATGGCTACTGCTAATAAGTTTACTCCAATGTATCGACCTTTTAAATGTGCTCCGTCAACTATAATAATTGGGCGCATGCAATTAATAAACGAACGAATCTACAAAATCATATACACAAGAAATATAATCATTTAAATGCGAAATGCATGTAACTAACAAAAATGAGTCAACAAAATTATATTGATTTACTAACCGCAGCACCAATGGCAACAAACAGCAACTCAAAGTGTCAATCTCTATATGTTTTGATATGAGTTACCGACCCAGGATTTTTCAGCTTTAAATTGTGACAATAAGCCGGCAGTTGGGCAAACGATGCTTCTGGCGACCCCCTCAACAATTCCAAGGCATAACATTTGGCTCTCCAAGCTTGAGAATATGAGATACTAATCTTGAACCGAGCATTCATGTCAGTCATAATTTCATGTCCCTGATATACCCTACAATTCAAAAACATTAACTCAACCAGAAAACCACCCAACACCTTTTTGTTTGCCTGTCTATGGTGAGGAAAAACTTGGGTTCTTGAACATGTATGTTTATCAATAAAAGTCCTAACTTGAAACATTTCGCAATCTTTTATCATCTTTGTAATCATACGCCACATACAGTTTTTGTCAATCATACACCTTGTTTCGAAACGATCTTTGCTTGATTTGTTAACTTTTAGTTGATAGCCATCTTCCACACATTTCGTATACAAAGCTATCTTCAAGTCTTCCTTTGTATCAAAAAATCATCTTTCTTGATACGAATAATTTTTGTGTAACAATCAACTGCTATCTTTGCCAACTCTTCTTCCGGTATCTGAAGTAATTCTGGCTATTCCAGTTATACTCCCGTGGCATTTTCTTCGGGGACTTTTCTTTGGGATTTCTTCTTCTTCTTTTTCTTCTTCAGTGTTATATGAATTACAGAATGGATGTTCAACATGTTCATTTACAGTCGTAACTTCCTCCTCATTATTATCAACAACATCTTCCTCGGCAATGGCTGTTTCATCATCAAAATTCGGGTATTGACCAATATCAAAATCATTACATGCAGGGTCTGTTTCTTCTTCTAAAAAACCATCAAAATCCGAGTATTGACCAAGATCAAAGTTCGGGTATTGACCAAGATCAAATTTCGAATACTGACTAGTACTCACAATTTTTTCTGTTGGCTCATCATCGTCTAACTGGTCAATACGAAAACCGAAATTTGGTGCTGAAAGTTTATTGGGATTTGGATTAGGGAAAGGTTGTGAGTTTTGAGATTGTGTTTGGTATTGGAAATGTGGTGAAACAATATTTGCTTGGTGATGAAATTGTGGTGGAACCATTAAATTTTGAGCACCATAAACTGGGGTTGAAAAACTTAGTTGATTACTACCCGCTACTAACCCAACTTCACTATTTCTAGGTTCAACAACATACAATGTAACATCATCACTTGAAACACTAATGTAAGCAATGAATCGTTCAACATCTTCATTGTCGGTTAACAAATAAACTTTACAATTTCTCTGATAAGATAGCCTAAATCCACTTAGGGGCTCTAAATTCAATTTATTTGCAACATGTAACATTAGAGTTTCATAAGTTAACTTTTTTAATGACAGTTTTAGTTGAAGATTCATGGGTAAAGGCATATATTGTAAAACACCATGAACATTCTCCCATGACCCTCCAAAACACAAATCTATCATGATCAACATTAGATGATTTCATTATTGTAAATTAATTTACTAAACAAACGAGCTGCGAAACTAAAACCTGTTGTCGGATGAGGAAGGATGTCGTTGGATATAGGAACGTATGTCGCCGGAGAGAGTGATAGATGGAGATGGAATGAGTTACGATTTAGGGATTTAGGTTATGAGTTACTACTGCTGCGTAGTTATATACCCAAAACATTTGTGTTGCGAAATTAAAACCTGTTGCGAATTCAGAAATCGAGTTGCGAATTTGAAATTCAGTATTGTGATAGTCAGAATCTCGTTGCGATTTACAGATTCGCATTGCGATTATAGATACGCGTTGCGATTTACGTATTCTCGTTGTGATTTACGGATACGTGTTGCGATTTTACGTATTGTTGTTGCGATTTACGGATACGCGTTATGATTTTACGGATACTCGTTGCGATAGTCAGAATCGCGTTGCGATTTATATGTTCGCGTTGTGATAGTCAAAATCGCGTTGCGATTTTCATATTCGCGTTGCGATTCTGGAAAATCGCAATGCGAATTTGTACTATCGCATTGCGATTCTTCATAATCGCGTTGCGATTCTGGGAACTGATTTGCGATTCTGGAGATCGCGTTGCGATTTTTATTTCGCATTGCGATTTTGTTGGTCATTTTGGCAAATCCAAAAAAAGTTGGTTAAAATCGTATATTATAAGGCATTTTTTATCACTGAGACGATTTAATATAGAAATTTAATATAAACATTAAAATATAATGATTATATTTAAAATTTCAAAATAATATAAAAGTATTGACACATTTAAATCAATTATTATAAGTGAGATGACAAAAAATTATTTATAATCCGTTAGTATTGATGAGGATTATCAATGATAATTTTCAATTAACTTTAAAAGTGTAAAAGATAAAATATTTTTATAACATTATTAATCATCAAAGAAAAATATATTTTTTATAAAAGCGGTTAGTTTTTATTAAAAAAAATGAAATACCTAAAATTACAATAAATGTTTACGACAAACAAATTATAAAATGAGATAAAAATAATGAAAGACTACTAACAAATTGTAAATCAAAATCGAATGAAGTTAAAAAAAAATTCAATAATGCAAATTGTGTATCCAAATTAAATCTAAGGGTCCAAAGCATGAAAGATCAGTATGATAACAAATAAACATTATCTTGTTACTTGTGGTATTGTCAAATTCAACCTTTAGAAAACTGATAAACTAAAATATCTATCAAACGATCGGAAATGTGCTATAGAGGCAAAATTATTGAAAACTAAAGAAATAAAAATGTGATACAAAAATTAAAGAAAAAAACTAGAAATATTGAAGACGAGGACTAGTACAAAGATTGTTGTCATCTTTTATCAACCAATAACAAAAAAAAAAGATAGATGACCTTAAAAAGTTTTAGAGAAAAACGATTATTTTTACACCATAGTTGACCGCATATCATTAGTAAAATAATGCTATAATACGTAAAATAATATAAAAATAAATAAAATATTTTTGACAAAATAAATAAATTGAAATTATGACCCCATCAAAATAATATAAAACACATCATAATATAATATGATGCCCTAAAATAAATATAGTATAGGAGTTAATTACATCATAAATATAGTGTAAGAGTTAATTACGAAGAATATGAAAGAGAGAAAAAGTAAAAGTAATGAGAGGAAAACATTTCTATGTTTGTAGCTAAAATAGTCATTCCGCAAGTTTAAAAAAAATCTCATTTTTATCTTCAATTGGACTAATTCATGAACTAATTGAGCCCAAATGTGAATCATGTCCCATCATAATAAATTTATTTAAGTAAGAGTTATCACAAATCTTGAAAAGTAACTTTAAAAAGTATTATATAAAAGTGTAGTTTAAAAATTTAACTGTTTAGAATTTACAAAATACAATTTAAAAATATAACATTTAAATTATATTTACATTTATTAATATTATGATATATACCATATGTCAACTTAAACTATAATAAAAAATATAAAAAATATTTTAAGATAACTCATTAATAATATTTTTATATATAAAATATTTTTTTAAAAATATATTATGAAATAATTATTTAAATACTTGTTTTGACAAAAAGAATATTACAAAAAAATTAGTAATTAAAATAAATTATTAAGTAATAAATTATTTTTTAAGGATGTTAGTATTAAATTATTATGAAATAATAATTTAAATACTTGTTTTGACAAAAATATTACAAAAAATTAGTAATTAAAATAAATTATTTTTTAAGAATACAACAACAACAACAAAACTATATTCCCAAATTCAATGGGGTAAGGGGGAGGTAAGATAGTAGGCTGCCCCCAACGCCAGGTTGAGAGCAGCTTCCGTGGAAGACCTCCGGTAGTCAGAAAATTTAAAAATAAAGATAAAACGCAATGCATGTATAAATAAATAAATAAATACATAGTTGAACAATTTTCATATGCAGTCTTCTTATGTGCGTCTGTAATGAGAAGTAATCCCTGCAAATAAATCCCTGTGTAAAAATCTCTGCATATAGACAGAAACGTAAGGCCCGACTAACTTTAAAAAGAGGAAACATGAAGAGAAGGATACACATGAGTCAACGATAGCAAGCTACGAGAAGGAATAAAGTCAACTGGGTTAAAACTTAAACTAAGGCAACACTAATCCGCTACCCTTGTTATAAGCCTTCATAAATTCCAATGACTGAAACGTATAAAAAGTAGAAGTCATGGAAATTACTACAAAGGCATAAAAGAAGACAGAGATGATACACCCAATGGATGTGACCCGCACTACCGGCTACCCTGGTCTTAAGTCCTCATACTTTCCTATCAGATGTCATGTCCTCGGTAAGGGCTAAATCCTTCAAATCAAATCTTAAGCAGTCTTCCCACTTCCGCCTTGGTTGTCCTCTCCTTCTGGCACCGTCGACTGAAATCGACTCTATCCTGCTGACCACATCCGACGGTTGTCGCCTAAGAACATGTCCAAACCACCGTAGTCTTCCCTCCCTCGGATACAGGCACCACCCTCAAGGACATCCTAATTGCAGAGTTTGGTGTCATATCCCACAGAGTCCTACCACATGCCCATCGAAGCATTCTCATTTCTACGGCTTCCATCCTCCTTACGTGATCCTTCTTGATTGCCCAACATTCTGATCCATACAACAGCGCTGTTCTTATTTCCATTCAATAAATTTTTCCCTTAAGTTTTAGAGGCACCTTTTTGTTACATAAAACTCCAGTAGCAACCCTCCACTTTAGCCATCCCGCCTTTATACGTTGTGTAACGTCATCATCCACACCCCCATCTTTATGTATCATAGACCCTAGGTACTTGAAACAATCCTTTGAGGGGAGAACGTGTCATTCTATGTATATTTCTACATCTTCATCGTTTTGGTTCCCACTGAAGTTTGAACATAAATACTCTGTCTTTTCAATATTGATCCTTAGACCTTTTTCTTCCAAAGCAGTCTTCCAGGTAGCCAGTCTACTATTCAGCTCAGTTTTTGTTTCAGCAACTAAGACAATGTCGTCAGTGAAAACCATACACCATAGAACACCGTCTGGTGTCGCACAATAGATGTCGTCCATAATCAAGGCGAAAATGCAAAGGCTAAGAGCCAACCCCTGGTGGAGTCCGATTTCTACCGGGAATACCTCGGTGTCGCCAACTGTAGTCCTGACGTATGTAGTAGATCTACGGTACATATCACGAATCGAGCAGATATAAGCAGTTGGGATCCGTCTCATTTCCAAGGTCTTACAGATCGTATCGCGGGGAACGCTATCATACGCCTTCTCATGCTCAATGAACGCCATGTGAAGATCTCTATTTTTTACCCTATATTTCTCCATAAGCCATCGAAGAAGATTAATCGCCTCCGTAGTAGACCTGCCTGGCATAAAGCCAAATTGGTTTTCTGAAACCTTAGTAACCTGTCTTAACCTAGCCTCTATCACCCTTTCCCATAGCTTCATGGTATGGCTGAGTAGTTTAATACCTCTGTAGTTGCCACAACGTTGGGGATCTCCTTTATTCTTATAGATTGGTATCACCGTAGACTTTCTTCACTCCACTGGCATCTTGGCAGTCTCTAGAATAATATTAAAGATGTTGGTCAACCACTTAACTCTCTCTTCTCCTAGGGAAAACCACACAGTGATAGGAATTTAATCTAGAACGACAACTTTGTCCCTCCCCATTTTTTAAGAGCCAATTTGACTTCCTCAAACCCAATCTTACTTGTAGGGCAGTAATTAGTCGTAGTATAATGGTCGACTGACCCATCAATGGTACTATCTCTACAGGGAGAGACACCGTCATTAAATAAGCCAAAAAAGTAACTACCCCAAACCCTCTTAATATCATGATCTTTCACTAAAAAAACACCATTGTTGTCCTTAATAAACCTAATGCTACCTAGATATTTTTTCCTATTCTCCCTGGATTTTGCTAGCCTGAAGATGTCGTTTTGTCTTTCCTTGGTGTTAATCTCTTGTACATTTCCTCGTATGCCTTATCTTTTTCTTTAGCCATCGTATTTTTGGCTTCCCACTTTGCCTCCTTGTATCTTTGTTTAGTTCTCAATCTTTCTTCATCTTCATTGCATTGTAGATACTCATTGAAGCAAGTTTGCTTTGTCTTCACCTTATTTTGGACTTCGTCGTTCCATCACCACGATTCTTTATGCTCCTTGACCTTCCCTGTCGACAGCCCAAGG